GGGAATCTCGGGTAATCTCGCCGAGGGCGGCGAGCCTCCGCTGCGCCTCTGCCGGAACCGTGCCCGCGTCGATGTAGAAGCGCGCTGTCCAGCCTGGGAAGACCTGCCGCACCAGCTCCGCGTTCCGCACCGCGCCCTCGACGTACTTTGGGCTCGCGCCATACAGAGAGTACGAGATCACCCTCTTCGGCGAAGCAGCAGCAGCAGCGGCGGCGGCAGCAGCAGCGGCGGCAGGAGCGGCGGCGGCGGCGGCAAGAGGGGGAACGGCGGCACTCGCCGTCGCTTGCGCCGCAGCTGCTGCCGACGAAACCGTCCCTGCAGCCGCTCCGGCCGCTCCCTCCGCCCCTCCCGCCGCCGCTGCAGCAGCAGCAGCAGAGCCGACAGTAGAGCCGATAGCAGCTGAGCCATCAGCAGCAGATCCGCTGGCTGCAGCCGCGTCCGCCGCCACTGCCGCCGCCCCTCCCTCCGCCCCTCCCTCCGCCCCTCCCTCCGCCCCTCCCTCCGCCCCTCCCTCCACAAGCTCGCCGCGTGGTGCGCCTCCCAGCTCCGCCTCGGGCACGTCGCAATACTCCATCCGCACCTGCGGGTCGGTGGTGTAGCACCACGGCCCAGTGTCGCCGTCTGGGTTGCGGCAGAAGTTGTGCCCGCCGCCCAGTCCGCCAGCAGGGTACACCTCTGCCGTGCGCGTGTGCTGATGCGGCGACTGCGCGCCCCACGACTGGCAGAGCCTGCCGCCGCGCGTCGTGTCGACGCGGCCGCGGTACCTCGCGCCGGGGGCGCGCAGCAACTCCTCGACGTCGTCGCCGCCGCCCTGCGGCCGCGCCTGCCCGCCGCCCTCGCCGCCGCCGCCCTCCGCCTCTCCCTCGTCCGCCGCCGCGCCCGCCGCGCCGCCGCCGCCCGCCCACCCGCGCCCGTCGGCGGCCCAAGACGCCTCCCCCTCGCCGGGCAACGCCCAGTCGGACGGGGTGGCGGGCTCGAGGCTGCGCTCCTCGCTGCGCGGCGGCATCGACCAGAGCGGCGCCGCGTTGTAGCACTGCGCCAGCTCGCTGTGCAGCAGCCCTCGCGTCTCCTTGTGCCGCAGCACGCAGCGCCCGATTGCGCGCTGGGAGACGTCCGTGGGCACGCGGAGGGTGGCGGTCCGCTCGTCGCAGCCGCAGCTCGCCTGTGGCACCGACGAGTAGCCGCGTGCAAAGGCGACCGCGTACACCACGGCGAGGAGAAGGCAGAGCGCAAGAGCCCTTCGCCGCTCGGGCGTCAGCGCCCGCAGACGGCTGCTGCCGCGCGGCACTGTTGCCGTGCCGCGGCCGAGGAGAATAGATTCCTCGTCGTCCGACATTCGGTGCCCCCGGCCGTCGAAGCGATCAGTCGTGACAGCCTCACTCGACACCGCCGGCGACCGGAAGAATTCGAGGGGGCAGACGATAGAGAGACCGCGGGGGCGGGCGCGAGTCATCGATCGAAGTGAGCTGGCCCCACTTCCCGGGGAGGGGCGGCGTGGCGATCTAATGCCGCTGCCCTCGCCCGAGGAGTCGGGCATGGGATCACCGTCGGTGGTGGCGACAGAATCGGACAGAGAAGACGAGGCGGTGGCGGTCGCCGCCTGCACAGCTCGACGTCCGCGTGAACCGCCTGGGCGACAAGGGCAAGGCGGCCATCAAGGAAGCCGTGAGCGGCAAGGAGGGCTTCGAGCTCATCATGGATGACTCCGACTCCGAGGAGGACTCTGACTACTAGAAGGCGCTCGCCTTTTGTCAGCACCGTGCTGACGGAGGTACGGGCGGCCCGCCTGCTTCTCAGTGTGTGCTCTGTGTGTGCCTCAAAATACGCCTATCGAAAATTTCTTTTGCATATCAAATCTCTGGTCCATGAGAGGGTGCGTGTCGGATGTGTATAACAATTTCATAACCATAACCTATAACCATAACATATAACCAAAAAAGTTATACACCAAAACCAGCACAACCAGGAGATAGATGGCAAGAGATGTTAAACGTTGTGTTTTTACAAAATTCGACTACAGCCGAGATATAGCCGAGATGTAGCCGAGATACAGCCGAGATGCAGCCGAGATGCAGCCGAGATGCAGCCGAGATGCAGCCGAGATACAGCCGAGATGCAGCCGAGATATAGCCGAGATGCAGCCGAGATATAGCCGAGATCCACTCACACGTCTCGGGCGGCTCGCCAGGTCTGCGACGTCGACCCGCCCGACGATGGTGGGCAGCCGGAGTCGCCGCAGCCCATGCCGCACCCGCAGCTTACGGACGACGAGCCTCAGCAGCAGCAGCCGCCGCCGCCGCCGCCGCCGGCAGCCGTCCCCTACCGGCTGCTGCCGCCGACAGCCGAGTCGTGCGCTCGCTTCGTCACGCCGTGCGCAGAGGAGCGCCCTGCGGCGTACGGCTACCCAGGAGCGCGCGAGATCCGCGCCGAGATCCGCGCCGAGATCGCGCCGAGATCCGCGCCGAGATCGCGCCGAGATCCGCGCCGAGATGTTGCCACGCGCGACGACGCACGGCACGGGCCTGAGCGTGCGGGGCCCCCCGCCGCAGCTTACTACGACGCGCCAACGGAGGAGACCGCCGCGGGGCCGGAGGTGTGCCAGCCGAGCGGCTGGGCACGCGTGGCGGCGGTGTGCAGCGCCTTCGCACTGCTCCTCCTCATCTTCGCCGTCTTGGTGCTCGTCAACCTGTCGAGGCGCGCGCTGACGAGGCGGATGCCCTACCACGTCGGCGGCGCGGGGCTCGGCTTCTCGGACGAGCTGCTCGACGACTCGGGGACGGATAGGTACCAGCCCTTGTGAGCAGGCGGGACGCGGACGCATTTACTTGATTGTGTCTGTGTCGTGTACTAGAGGGCGACTACGCGTGTGTCGTGTAGGTGTGTGCACGGTTTCTTGAAAGAAACGGTTTCTTAAACGGTTTCTTTTAAGAAACCGTTCTACCGCGAAAAAAAAATCGTACTCGCGGGATATGGTGGCCGAGGGTGGGACGGGGGCTGCTCGCTTTTGTACTTTGCACCTGTATGCACCTGTATGAACGCAAAGCGCGCTTAGGCGCAGCCTCTGTGAACGAAAACCGGACCGCCAGAGACCGACACTTTATGAAGTCCGCAGCCGCCCAGTACCACGTGGCCAATGCCGCCGCCATCGCCGCCGCCCGCCGCGCCCACAACTCGCGACGCGGCGAGCCGCCCAACCACGCCGCTGCCGCCCCACTTTGACCCCAAGGCGCTGATGGCCTCGATCGAGTCGGGAGCAATCGCCGCGCTGAGCGGCCGCTTCGCCGCCAATTGGCGCGCCACCGGCAAGCCGCTGCCGCGGCGCCAGGACATGCCGCCCGAGGCCTTCTTCCCCGTCGCGAAGCTGCGCTGGCTGGTGGAAGCGCTGGGCGACGACTGGGGGCTCCTCTTTGTGGCTCTGTCGTACCGCTGGCTGACCAAGGAGCACCCAGACCCGGAGCGGTTCCACCTGGACATCGTGTCCGCGGTGGCGAGGCTGTACCTTGACGGCGGACGCCACGGCGGCCTTGGCTCGCCGCTCGCCGCCGCCTTCGAGAGGGCAGGCCTGGGCAGTTGGCACCGCCTCAACCAGGAGTGGGAGGGTGAGGCGCCGGACTTTGCGCTCTTCTGGGACTTTGCCTGGCGCGCAGCCGGCCCCCCATCCTTCAGCGGCCCGCGCCCCCGACCCTCCAGCACCCCCGCCCCTGCCCCCTCCCTGCTCACCGCTCCTGCGCCGCCCCTCGCAGCCTCCATCAGAAGCCGCGCACGGCCGAGGAGGATTCCCTGTTCAATGTATGGTACGGGCACGCGCAGACCGTTTGCTGGATGCAGTCGGAGCTGCCGCCCGGCTTCGCAGAGGAGATGGAGGCGCTCGGGCTCGCACGCTCCTACGAGGAGAGCGGCTGGTGCGCTCGCCGAGCTTTAGGCTTTACCGCGCTCGCACAAGCCCACACGCAGCCGCCTGTCCTGTTGTTGCGTCGTGTGAGGAGCGGGGTCGCGGCTCGGGCGCGTGCAGGTGCTTCGTGGAGGCGGCCACCTCGGCGGGGGTCAAGGTGGGGACGCGGCGGCTCGACCTCGGCAAGCGGACCGACCTGGCCATGATAAATTTCTACGGCTATCCGGATACACCTCCCCAGTACCATCTGGAAGGTGTGTGCGCGGCGCGGCGGCAGCCGCCGCTGCTGCCCGACGAGGTGCGGCGGCTGCTCGAGAAGGAGAAGAAGTTCACCACCGGCAAGGAAGACGTGGAGGTCGTGGACAAGCTGTACCGCGGCTTCTTCGACGGCGTTGCAGGCGCGGCGACCTCGCTCAACTTCAGCAACCTCGGTTGGGGCCCCGCAGAGGCGCAGGCGCTGGTTGGCGTGCTGCCTTGCTTTGCTGCGTTGCAGAGCCTCGATCTGACGGGCAACGAGCTGGGTGCAGAAGGAGGAGCGCACCTGGCGGGCTACCTGCGTGTCAGCGCCTCCCTGACGTCCATGGACATCTCGAACAACAGGCTGTGCGGCGTCTGGGACGAGTACGAGCGTGGCTCCTATGTTCCCAAAGGCACTTACGACGCGACAGGGATCAATGCCATCGCTGATGCGCTGCGCGTCAATGCCTCATTGACGAGCGTATCTCTGTCGAACAACGGCATCGGCGCAGAGGGTGGCGTGGCAATCGCAGAGGCCCTCAAGGCCAACGCCTCGATGACGGCGATCGATGTGTCGCACAACAAGATCGATCAGCCGTCGGCGCGCCTCATCCTGGAGGCGATGAAGGGTAAGAGCATGCAGTCCATCACCATGGCCGGCTGCAGCCTCGGTGTGGAGGAGGCCAAGATCCTCGCCGAGTACACTCGCGTCATGGCCTCGCTGACCGCGACAAATGTGCTGCACAACAAGTTCGACGCGGATGCTGTCTCCATGCTCCTCAAGGTCATGCAGGAGCATACCAACCTGTCCACTCTGTGCGGCTTCAAGGGAGACGAGACTAGCATCGACTTCTGTAACGAGGGCCTCCTCCCAGTGGATGCGATGCTGATTGCGCCTGAGATCCGCGTCATGGCCTCGCTGACCTCCGCAGATTTCAGCCAAAACCAGCTGGGACCCGAGGGCGTTAAAGCACTCGCGCCAGCGCTGGCTGCCAGCGCCTCGCTGACGAGCGTGTCGCTCGCTGACAACCGGCTGTGCGGCGTGGACGGGGATGGAAACGGCACCTACGATGCGACCGGCATCAAAGCCATCGCTGATGCCCTGCGCGTCAACGCCTCGCTGACGAGCTTGAGGTATGTTGCCATCCAAGCCACACATGCGTAGAACGTGTAGCAGTCTGACTTGCAGCTGGTTTCGTGCCTTGCAGCCTTCGCGAAAACAACATCAAGGGCACGGGCGAGGCGCTTTGGGAGGCCCTCAAGAACAACTCGTGTATCAAGACGCTCGATCTGTGCCTTTGCAGTCTCGGGCCAGAGGACGGGACGGGCCTGGCTGGCGGCATTGCCGTCAGCGCCTCCCTGACGGAGGTGCCGCCGCCTGCACCTGTCTGCGTGTCAAGTTGCGCTGGTCTCAGCTGTGTGCGCCGTGCGCAGGTTTACATCTGCGGCAACAACATCAGGAACGGTGGGGCAGAAGCAATTGCTAATGCTCTCAAAGCCAACGACTCGTGCGTGCTCAAGAAACTGGCGGTAGACCTTGGTCTTGAGGACCATGAGGGCCTCAAATCAGCCTGCCAGCTCCGAGGAGTGGAGCTCGAAGGAGTGGAGTAAAGCATACAAGTCGGGCGAGAACTGATGGGTATGTTTTCACGTTTTTACAAACTGCTCTGCGTTACAGTTAAATCTTAGACCTCAAATATGTAAAGCCGTACGTATTTAATTGCTACAGAACATGTACTCTCTCACCTTCTCTGTATTAAGGCAGGGAGGGGTGCGCCCACATTACAGTGTCGATCGACCCGGGAGGATATATAGTCGCGATGGGCAATTGGGCAGGCTGCTTCGCCGCTCTACTCAATGACAATGTCCAGCAGGCTAGATGGCACCGCCACCTTATGGTCGGCCATGCGCCTCCACACGGCTCGCAAGGCGGTCTCGTTGCAGGCCAGCCGCTCGTATTTGCACGAGCCGCGGCAGCTCGGCTCGCTGCATGCCTTGCCGACTCCCGCCTGCCTCGCGGCGAGGGCCTTTCGGTCCGCGACTAGCGCGTGCACCGTCGCCTGCCGCTCGCGGAAGTCCCAGCGCGAGTGCTCATTGGCCACGTCGGCGATGCCGGGCACAGGCACCGCGTAGTTGTTGGCGATGTAGTCGTCATGGAACTGCTCAAAACGAGCCCGGGTCGTCGCGGGAAGCAGGGGAGCGGGGAGTGGGGGGTCGCCCTGGATCGAGACGCGTGCGCGCACCACCACGCGCGGCGCCGGCTCGCACGCGTCCCGCAGCAGCGAGTTGAACGCGAGCCGTAGGCCGACGCCGGCGAGGCGCCGATCGGGCGAGAGCGAGTTCAGGTGCCACTCGACCGCAAGGTGCTGCAGCCGGCAAAGCGCGCCGCGGGAGAGCAGCCACGGGAGCAGCTCGTACTCGAAGCCCTCTGGGGGACTACAAGCACTAGCCGTCTTCCACATGGTCCCTCGGGTCCCTGCTGCTCCTAATCTCTTCGTACATCCTCCTGCTGATCTCCGCAACGTCCTGCTCCCTCCCTCGTCTCGCCCTGCGCGTCTGCTCCGCCTCCCCGTCGTCCGCCCTGCGTCGTCTGGTGACGGGTCCTCCATAGTCGGTTGAGGTCGCCGCCCTCCTCGTGCCTCTTCCCAACGTTCCCTCGGCGGTCGATGCCGTCTGGTCCGCCTCCGCCGTCCCCGGGTCTGCCCTGCCCTCGTCTGCACTAGCTTCTGTTTCGTCATCACTAGCGCCTCTCCTCTTCTTTGTCCTCTTCTTGTATGCTTTGTACATCGCATCGATTCCTTTTCGCGTGAGCACCACCCTGAAGCTCGCCCAGCAGCGGAACCGCTCCCTAAGTCGAAGGAGCATCACCAGTCTCACCCACTTCGCTCGTTGCCCACTGTCTCCGCTCCCTCCCGCTTGAGCCGCCGTCGCGGCCCTCGTTCGTCCCACTGGCTGCTGGCCTCGCGGGCCTGTCTGCACGTTGCCTCCGTTATCCCTCCTCCTCCGCGACTCCCTCAAGGCCGGGCGGGCCTCCTTCCACCCAGCGAAGAGCTTCCTCAGCCACTCGATGTGTTCCTCTCTCTTCATTATGCGCGCCGTTGCTTCATCATTGAGCTGTATCCACCTCTGCACCGCGCTCCCGCGGTCGCCGCCTGCGCCTCCGGCCTCGGCCACGACTTGCAAGTTCCTCGTGACCCCGGTGCCAAGGTCCCTTCGGCTCTTCTCCGAGAGGTCATCTCTACCAGTGCTGGAAAAAGAAGATCTCTCAAAGACGATTTTCCGTGCGAGCGTGTGTGGCTTTCACCAGCGTCAACGCATGCCGGCCATGGGGCTCTGCGATCTGCAGCGTGTTGGCGCGCATTTGCACACGCGCGCCCACGCGCTGGAGATTGCGGAGCCCCATGGCCGACGTGCTTTAACTGGGGAAAAACCACACCCCCCCCGGAAAAAATGCCTTTTGGGAGAATTTTTTTTTTTCCCCCC